AGGAACATCCCTGGAATGTGTTGGCATGAACATATTTTTTTATATGCACTTCCCAAAGAAATCTTTGAAGAATATTCAAGTATTGTTTTTGTACTGAGAGGTAGCAATGAGATGTTTTGTGATGTTTTAAAAATTTTGTCATGAGGATATTGTTCTGAGACGTTATACCCTAATAGAACACAACGTCCTAGGGATGTTCCTCTTTGATACAATTCTCGTCCGAATGTCCCGAACCAAAAATAAGTATCCTAGGGACATCCCATCCCGTACATCTCATGCAATGTCCGAGTAAAAACGTCCACGGAATGTCCCAGCTGGTACATAATTTCAAATGTCCTAGAAATAACATCCCTTAGACGTCCCACGTGGTACATATTATAGAATGTCCATGTAAGGGCGTCCTTGGCATGTCCCTGATGGGATATGATTCTAAACGTTCCGTTAGAGACATCCATCGGATGTCCCGGGTAGTACACATTCTTGCATGACTTCAGATCTTTTATAGTATCCCTTCTAGACAACCATGAAATAACCCTGATATTACATTCCTTCAAATATCTCTGCACAGACGCCCTCAATATTTCCAGGATCGTATGACGATCGAAATGTCCCTTAGAGATATCCGTCAGATGTTCTAATTGGTACATAAGCTCTTCTTTTCTCTAGGAATAACGTCCTATGGAGGTCCCAGTCGGTACTTTCAATATGTTGTCCCTGCGAGGACGTTAACTCACACCTCGCCGACGAATGATTACTCGTAGGCTGTAAGTACTCCTCGTCAATGTCCTTCACGTAAGTCCATTGGACATCCTTGGGAATTTTTTTGGGGTCCTTCTACGGATCATCAACCCAACTGAATATTGTCCTAATCAGTTATGCAAGATCTCGTCCTAGAGGGAACCAGAAGAATTCAAATTCAAGAATAATTCGTACGTCCCTGGGACATCTTATGGACACCCAATTGTCAGCGTTGCTGATAGGTTGTCCTATGGATGTCCCAAGGATGTCCTCTGTATTGCTCGATGAGAAATATTGTAAAATTCAGGTATTCGATATTTTTCTCAAGGAAATCCCTCAAGGCCGTCCCTAGTTGGTCCTCAAGTGGGACATTTGTGCGTCTCACAGACGTCCGATGGACGTCCACGGTACCAAATTCGAACGTCCTATGGACGTCCTGAATGTCTCGACAGGACGTCCTAAGGATTTCCATGGGACATAAGTGTGTTATTAGGGTATGCATTCCAAATGAGGTCTTGTAATGATTTTGACAGTATTGTTTCTATTCTTCTGTAGCATTTCCTCGTCTGCCTACTGAGGAAGTACCCCTGGGATGTTTTGGGATGTTTCAACAATGTTGGCATAAGGATGTTGTTTTGAATAGGTCTTTGGAGGACATTGAAAGAATCGTATTTTTGTCATCTGTGTCATTTCTTCGTTTGCTTCACCACAATGTCTCATACTTGCGTCACAATACGATGAAATCTGTTTTTTTTTCGATTTCGTAGTTTTTGTTCGCATTCGCGTTGGCAGCGTCTTTTTATTGCATCAACACAATACCAACGACCTCCTATTTCAATCAGAACCGAAGCAACGACATTCATATGTATATATCATTCATTCTCATCAAGAATGACCATCAAATGTCTCGTCCATGATCCGTAATAATATTTCAAACAACATAGAATATTTAAGGAATATTTTGACTACTGTCAGAACGCTTCCGTACTTTTTCTGGAATATTTCCATAGAATGTTCTCAGAGTGATATCATGAAATAATATTATCTTGAAACATGCTATACAGGGTTTCCGATAAAAAGAGGGGCAATCCATTAACCATATATTCCTTGAACAAAATCAATATGAGTTTCTAGATACAATTTTTCATTTAAGCCCTTTATATTAGACAAAGTTAGAAATTTGAAACTGTTTTTTTCAATTACTCGCGTATTTGATGAAATATCAATCTCAAAATGGGTACATTACTCCAGCAAAAAGAGTTGCATCGTGTGAGGAGAACAAAACAGAAAATAACTGTCAAATATTCAAAATACTGAGGGTCGAGTACACACTTACCCCTATATTTTTTTTGTACGTGCGCTAATTATTTCCTATTTATTTTTCTTCAAGTGTTTAATAATTTTTGAGTTTTTTTTGTTTCTCGTAAAATTTCGATAAAATCATTTGATTTTGATATAATTCGAAAAGTGCTGGTTATTGTTTGATGCCTATGCGGCTCACGTTAATCTCATAATGTTCACATACTCCTATTAATTTCGTCGAAATTGAAAGAGAGCGAAAATTTTTACGTACGAAAAAGTGAATATGGAAATTCCAGGTGCTCAGAGCTAATGTTTTAAAATAATTTAAAAAAAAAAAAAAAATAATAGAAATTCAATACGTAGATAAATTGCTCCATATATGACCTCCAATTTTTTGAATACACATGCGAGCCCTTTTTATAAGAGGAAGTCTTAGCCTTTGAAGAGTATGTGGCTTATGCACAAAATCTTTCATACATACCCAGACAATCCTGATCTGCTATTCCTTTCATCAAGTAGCTATTGAAATCATGGATATCATAATTTCACGTAATATATCCGAAAATACATTTTTTAAAGTTTTTCCGATTTTATTTCCCGTTCGATCGCGCCCGACATACCATACGGGGGAAATGATGCTCGAAAATATTTTAAGAAATTACGCACTCCCCAAAACCGCTCAAACCGATTTCGAAAAAACTTTGCTGTTCTCGAAAATAATGAATTTAATGATTCTTCAAAAGGGTGGGCTCGTCAATCGACACTTTCCCCATCCTTCAAAAATCATTATTTTCCCAAAAATCCAAAAAACTTTTTCCATTTGACCCCGTAAAAAAAATCACGCTGTTCGATTGGCAAAAAAATTGAATTCGACGTGTGTCCCCACTTTTTTTTATTTCTTGTTTTCATCTCTTCGATTATCTGGATTTCAATCATTTGTATTTGTAAAATTTGTTTCCAATAAAATCTTCTTGACTGGTTTAATGGCGATTTGGATGTTCATCAAGTTGGGAAAAATACTTTTATTGAATCTCCGTTTTACTCATCATAATTTTGCTATTATTGGTTTCCAGTCATTGGTGTAAGTTCTCATAAGACTGATTACCTCAGATTGGGTGCATTGCAAAAATTTTTTGACTCGTATGTTTTTTCCGTAAATGCGATTGTTATCTAATAAAAAAATACAATACAACATCGTGCATGAACAGATCTTCTGTAAATAAATCGAAAAATTCTAGTAGGGGGCTGTCACGCTTTGATGAAAGAAATAGCAGATCAGGATTGTCTGGGGATGTATAAAATATTTTGTGTATAAGCCAAATATTTTCCAAAGGCTAAGATTTTTTTCGATTAAAAGTTATATCGAGCAATTATTTATTCAGACGTGTTGAATTTCTATCAAATTTTTTTTGTAAAAATTATTTTAAAACATTCGCTCTAAGCACCTGGTATTTTTATATTTACTTTTTCGTACGTGGAAAGTTTGGCTCTCTTCCAATTCAGAGGAAATTAATAGGAATATGTAAACATTATGAGATAACCGTAAACCGCATATATATAAGCATCAAACAATAACGAGTACTTTTCGAATTATCTTGAAAACAAAAATTTTTTTCGAAATTCTACAAGGGACAAAACATACTCAAAAATGGTTGAACACTTGTAAAAAAAAATATATCATATCATTAGCGCTTGTACAAAAAAAATATGTAAGTGTATAGTTGACCCTCAGTATTTTGAATATTTGACAGTTTTTTTCTGTTTTGTTTCCCTCACACGATTTAACTCTTCGTGCTGAAGTGATGTACCAATTTTGAGATCAATATACGCAAGTTATTAAAAAAAAAAACAGTTTTTGATTTCCAACTTTGACACCATGTATATCGAATATAAAGGGCTAAATTGGAAAATGGTAATCAGAAACTCATATTGTTTTCGTTCAAGGGATATATTGTTAATAGATTAACCTCCTTTCAGCGGACACCCTGTGTATGAAGTTTCTCCTGAGACAATGCCAATTATTATCCTACTGTAATAATGAAGTGCATGTTGACATATTTCTATCCATATCATTCATCAATGAGGTTCATATAGCAATGTGGACCAGGTGCAAGTATTGTGAAAATTCGATCACAAGTGAGAGTATATAGGTTCAATTCTCTAGAAGAAGAACTCTTTTTCAATTTCCTTCTTTCTTCCTCTTATATATCTACTAAGAATGATTCATGTGCAGCTATTAAATGTTTGCAAAATGCTTTGTTGTGTCCATGAGAAAGCTATCAAAGAACCAGGGAAAATGTGTTTCTGTGACATCCCAAGGACATCTTCAGTAACGCCGCCTGCGGCGGAAATTGGCTGTTCTATGAAATTCCCCTCATGTGTGAACAGGAAATCTCAGTAGAGGTCCAATGTTCTGACATTTCGTATTCTCAATATTTCTGAGGTGTTTTGCGCTCGCTGGGCTGAGATATCGCGCAAATGATGGCAAAAGCAACGAAAACTGGATACACTGTACATTCCAAGTATTTACTGCGACATCAAAATGAATTTCCTTGAAAACGCATCGAAACCTATTGAAGAAATACTACCACCTAAGTAAAGCTCAGAGTTATTGCAGTAACCAATGATGAGAAATGAAAATATATTTTGCAAAAAAGAATATATCCTCCGTCCAGAGGTACACTCCTGGATCCGCCACTGTATCCAATGGTCCATATTGATGGGCTCGTTGTCGATTATGCCACTTGATTAGGCATAGGCATAATCATTCAGCACAACATAACAAACTATGGACACTCAATCATCAATGCAATCCAGCATCCCTTGGAATAAGGTCATCGATTCATCTCTCTCCACTCGTCTCTCTTGTTATCCCGAAATCTCACTCTGCGCACGCTCGTGAATCAAAGGCGATTTCTCATATATCAAACTATAACATAATCTGATTTGTTTTCAATGAACAAACTGGTACTTTCACTTTTACATCATTTTAACAAACATACATGAAATTGGTAGCTAGGTCAGTCTGGTAATAACCTTGCTATCGGTTGCTAGTGTCAGATAATGAGGAGAGCCTTTCAATTTTGCCGCTTTTAGTAGCGGGTTTCCCGATTTCCCAGGAATTTTCAGTGTAACTTTGTCGCTCGATTCCGGTTAGTGTGATCTCCGCTCTCTCAGGTGCAAAGTGGTAGAGTTTGTCGTGAAAATGACCAGTGTCGAGGATATTTTGGAGTACAAGAAAAATAACGATGAGGATTATTATGCGATATTGGGTTGTGACGAGCATTCTACTGTGAGTTATTTTTGTTGTTACTAGGTGTTGATAACGATACATCAAACACGAATTTATGAGAACTATATAATATAGAGTGTGTGATTTGTTTCGAAAACATTCTTGAATTATGGCATTTTGAAAGTTGTTTTTCCATACTTTTTTCTCATCCCATGTTTTTTTCTCGTTTCTTCTCCTATGTAGGTATATGAATGTCTTTGCCTGAAGTCTTGCCTTAACTCAATTTCTTTCAACGAAAGAAGCCTAAATTTATTGGAACAACATTTGCTTCAATCTTGTAGAAAATGGAGTTTTTTGGAACAACAGTTCTCAGCGATATTGGTGTGATATTACTCAGCACCCCTAACAAATCAGGGATATCCTAGGTACGTCTCTTTAATGTCCTGAAGTGTACTGTCGATACGAGATTGTGTATGAGACATCCCTGAAATGTCCTACTCATTATTTCCAGGAGATGTCCCGACTGGAACATCCCTGAGTTGGCCAAATTATGTCCCTGTATATCCTGATATCTATTTCTATCAGAATTGATATGAAACATTAATTCTTTTTGCACATGCATCTCCATTATTTTTCTCTGAGAAAATCACAAGCAAGGTATCGTTGATTATTTTAACTATATTTTCATTTCGCCTATACATCTCGCCGACGCTCGCTACATAAATTCAAGTATAAAAATGAATAGCTAACGATATAATCACATTCTATAGAGTTTTGATAATAATGAGTGCGCCAAAATTTATAACAATAACTGGCAGGACCAACGACCAATAGTCACCACAGTGCAGTCACCAATGCGTTTTCTAGAAGATTTGTGCTATATCATTATGTTTCTATGATATCGTATGTATATGTCTATACAGTGTGTCCCAGCTGAAACTTCTCACTGCCCAAATCTCCGTTGTCATCGAAAGAATTGAAAATTGCTCGAACAGAGGTCCATTTTAGTTTGGTGGGAGACACATTCTTCTGCAATTATCATATTCCAAAGTTGAAACCTTGAAGCATAACGGGCATCCACCATCAATTTTCAAATTGAACACCCTGTATTTCATTTTATTTTCCGATTTTCCCTGAAGAGCTGCTTTCATCAATGCATCACATTTGGTGTCTAGCAGGAATGATCAGAGAGATATAGGGCGTGTTCAAAACAGATATTTTTAACTTTCGGATGTTTTTGTGTCGAAAACTCGGTCGAAACTGTCATTATTGGTCGAAACGACTTTCATGTCTCTATATTAACTTTTCACTCACTATCTACCGAGCTATCTACTGACGTTTGAGTGGTTGAGTGGAACAGATACAGGGTGATCAGAATTCTGAATCATGAACCACCCTGTATTTGTACCAATTAATTGTCAGTCGATAGTGAATCTTGAGTTAGGATAGGGACATGAAAGTTGTTTTGACCGATAATGAATAGTTTCGACCAAAAGAATCCTGAAGTAGAAGAATCTTGATTTTGAACACCCTATATGTCTCTAGAAATGCAATGAAATACTGGTTGTAACATTTGAAAAAGAGTTGATGCCCGTTACGCTCAAAGGTTTCAACTTTGGAATATGATAATGGCAGAAAAATGTGCCCCTCGCCAAATTGAAATCGAATCTTTTGAGCGATATCCAATACGACATCGGAGATTGAGAAGGTGACAAGTTCTAGCTGGGACACACTGTATGTACCTTGGGATTCGTTGATGTTTGTCTCAGGAATGTCCTTTATATCAATGCAAAAAGTCCCTGGTATAGTTACAAGGGATGTCACTGGGATTCACTATGGTAGTGATGGTATACTCATAATTTGTCTTTGGGCTGATATAGGTAGTACCCGGTATATCCTCAGGACGTACTGAAGGGATGTCCTGGTAGTCTCTTTTTGAAAGCCAAGATATGTCCGTAGACCGTCACTAGTAAGTCCCGTGTTTCGACAGAGGCTGTCCCAGGGACATCATCCTACTGAATGAGTGACTTTCCTGGGATGTCCATAGAATGTATTTGTATTGTTAGGGAGCAATATTGGTAGAATATTGAAAATCACTATGTTTCAATATCGTCATCAATTATTGGTGAAATAATTGCAGAACAATTTTGGTGGAGGTGGAATACTAGAGGTCAATATGTTGTGATAGATTTTCAATACATACAGGGTGTTCCAGCATAACGTCCCTTCACTCCAGGACATAATTTCTGTAAACAAAAATCTGAAAAATATTACCATCAACGTCTAAATGCAGTTTTCTTCACAATCATCTTTATTATCAACGATCACGAAATCACGTGATCTTTCAGGTACTTGAAGAACATTCGATCTCGTGAATTGCTTTGTAAATCAGATAACAAAATTTGATATACAGGGAGGTGCGAAACTAGTGACCGATGCTATGAAAATTACTCACCGTTTTAGGTTTCACGGTCCATCTCACTTCAGGTACCATAATCTGATTCTTCAAACAACTTTGCATGAAAAATATTCTCTTGTTAGAATGCCGTGAAATAAATGGAATTCGAGAAGATTGCAATTCGTCATTTGATGTCCATATAGATTTTACCTAATTGATGAATTTTGGAATTTCGTCAATTTCCATTCCAACTTTTTCTGTCCTTAAGACAAACGCCCCAAATCACAATACATTTTTGTTGACGTCAAAATGAAAAATAACACTTTCCTCGGAAATGATTTATTTTGCATCATTTCGCTAAGAAAAGAGTTCGAAGAATCATATTCAAGTATACCTACCCACTATAAAAATCAGAGGGATCGTGAAATAAAATCAGGGCACTTTTATAACATAGGTTAGGCTATTCGCTCCTCCCTGTAAGTTTCAATATTTTTCCGAAACAAGAAACGATTTGTGAGATCAAATTACCATCATTCACAAAATTTTGTGATTCAAGGATTCATGGTGAGAAAGATAATTGAAGAAGACTGAATATGAGTACTCACCTTCAAAGGGCTGTAGGAAATATTTCCAGACACATATTGATATTAGGAATATTTATTTCCGTTTCTATTTCTAGAATTACCTTTCAGAGTATACGAATGTTATTCTGAGACACCCAGCATAAACTGGATCATACGAGAAAAGTCCATATATTATGTTAGAGGAACAACGTGGAAGAAGGCATTGAAATTTTTCGAGGGTATTTCTTCCAACAAATCACAAATTTTTGGATCTGACATGAATTCAAAATGGACGAGTATTAATCATTCCAGAATTACGTCATTTGACAGGTTGCTGAGGGGCAAACATTGTATTTTGTCAAGATTTGTCATATGAAACCAGAATTAGTTTTTCTTGGAATCCGAGGTGGAACCAGAAAGAATTTCATAACTTTGTTTGGTGAAACTGTTATTATATTGTGGATGTGGCAGGGACGGCCAGAGCAATTCTCATCAAATGTAAAGTTTGTGTGCCCCTCAACACACCATGTCAAAATCACGTGTTCTAGAATGATCAATTGTCATATCACGATCACCAAGCATAAAGAAATATCAATGTCAATTTCAAATAATTCATCTTGGAATTACATATTGTCAGAGTTGTGATATATTGAAGAGTGTAGTTGACAACTGAATGGTTATAGGAGTTGTTTCTTGTTCCAGGCGTCTTGTGAGACCAGACTTTGTTCAAGATGTTTATGTGATGTATGTGATTGTAGATATTTTATCAAATCAGATATTGAGAAGTATAAGTATTTATCTCCTTCTAATCATATTATATCAGACATGGCGCAATTGGTATATAGCCCGGAAGCCAGCGACCTTTTTCAATGACCAAAAGCACAAAAGCTGAAAATGTTTTCTGAGCTTCATTTAGTATCACTAGTAAGGAAATCGGCCTCCAGCTGGCGCACTTCCGGGGGGTGTAGTTGCAGCAGCGTCCCAAACACGTAAAATTATAATAAAAAAAAACTGATATCACAAAAGCTGAAACTTTGTTAACATGTTGATTATCATACAAATAGATCAAAAAACGTTTCCAGCCGAACTTATACTGGGGGATTATGCTCCAGCTTTTCATGCCCTGACGGGTTGCGACTATAACCCGTCATTTTTCAAGAAAGGAAAAAACCGGCCCTATAAAATTTTACACAGCTCAGAAATATATATAGAACATTTTATCAAACTAAGCAACGCACCTGATGACGAGTTGGAGAATACCTTCAACACTACAGAAGAATATGTATGTCGAATGTATGGATTTAAAAAAATCAACAAAGTGAATGAAGCACGAGTTGAAACATTTTTGAAAACCTACAATATATCACAAAACGATGACATATTCCGGTTACCGAAGAATAACATCGATGGATCAGCTCTGCCTCCCTGCAAAATTGAACTGCACCAACATTTGCTGCGTACAACATATATAGCAAATATTTGGGCACACGCTCATCTTCAGGTTCCAACGGCATTACATCCGACTGATTTTGGCTGGAAAGAGAAGGAGGGAAAATTTCACTTCAAATGGTTCGAAGGTGAGCAGCTTCCCTCTTCACTTGGTGATATAACTATCAATGAGGATCAAACAAGTCCTACAGGTCAGAAATTTTTTGAATATTTTCTCTTTGGTTTAATCTATATTTATAGCAATCTTGTATATCATGTCAACTTTTTTTGATATTCATAATCTGATTTGCATTAAGATTTTGCTCTGAATGTTTTTATATTAATATCATCTATATATTTCAATATATAGTTAATATACAATATATGGTTACAGATGATAACGAAGATATTTCGTGGATCAGCATCAATTGCAGCGATCATGAAAGCGATGATGGGAACGACGACGATGAATCCGAAGGATCCGAAATCTGAAAACATTGTTGATATCTGATTTTGTTACACACACTAGTTCACTATGTCTGTTAATTTGTATTGTTAGTATATTTTTTGTGAAGGAATACTGAAAAAAAAATTGATAGTAAACCTATTTTTAATTATCTTCCTTCAGATCAGAAATGTAATACCTACGTATTTATCATTAAATAAATGCA